TGGGAAAGCTCTCGAGCGCTGAGATGGAGGCGGAGAGATTTATTATCCACTGTGACGTAGCGCGCGACGCGTGCACGGGCCAACTCGGTCCGGATTGGACAAGCGGCCTGCCCTCTGTCGCGTGCCCTCCTCTCGCATTCTCATTGGCCACTGTAGCCTGAACAAATCAACACGATTTGATTTGTGCAACAGCCCTCAATAAGCAAATGAGGAGATGCTTTGCAGGGTTGCGTTGCTCTTTATGAGAGAGAGGGAGACGCTTGTGAGTTGCCCTTGAAAACAAGCATCAACTTCCTTCCCTCTCCACTCCTAGTACATTCACCTCCCTCCCATTCATATTTAAAATTCCCAAACACCAAACAGGTGAAAGGTGACGTGCCTGTCACATCAGGTCACTCAATCTTTGAAGTTTACTCAAACATAAGATATACCTATACAAGCATAATTGCTAATTGCTCACTATTAAGCCAACTTTACATATAAGGCATGAACCACAGTGACTTCATGCTATACCCTCCCATAAGTGCTTCCTGTACAAATACAAACAAGTGCGAGTACAATAAATCTGGTACAGAAATTAGGAGGAGTTTTGCTGTTTTCATATGTGACAGCCATTCATATTTTTCTGTTTGGGGGTAAAGACAGTAAGGATAATAGTGGGTCTATGAGCTGATGGTGTGGTCAGGCATCTGCATGAATTGTATTCAAACACATCTCTTTACTCAAGAGTACTAACTGAACGTAATGGCAGTCAGTACTTGCTTAATAGATTAATTGATCATTCTAAGACACAAGGGCACGACTAGACTTGCATGTATTACATTCAGGGGCGTCTTGTACCTATTTTCTTTTTTGAGGAGGCAGTGACAGTTCTGGCGTGCAGAGATCCAGTTCTAAATGCAGCCAGTTCAGCTCTTTGGCAGCATGACGCTCACCTCTGAAATGACAGAAATGGGGCCACTTCATCATGACAGACAATAGGAGGCAGAAACACAAATAATATGTTTACATAAAAATAACAAAGTTTGTCATAATAATAAAAATAGAACATCAAACATTAATAGTAATGAAAAGAAATATCACTGAGCAGCAAATCAACATATCAAAAAATGATTTCCCAAGGATCATGTGATGCTGAAGACTGTAGTAATGATGCTGAAAATTCAGCTTTGCCATCATAGGAATAAATTACATTATAAAATATATTTAAAGACAAACCAGTTCTTTTAAATTGTAATAATATTTCACAATATTACTGCTTTTATTGGATTTGAATCAAATAAATGCAGCCTTGGTGAGCATAAGAGACTTCTTTCAAAAAACTCACTCAAATAGTGGGTCATGACCAAAAAATGATCCAGGTCTGTTCTGATGCAGATGGCTAAATGATAAATTAATTCACATGAAGAAACTCAACTAACTATATAATTGTGCATTACTAAGATAACAAAAAGGAGGAGAAAACACTTCCCATATCAGCCTTGATGTCAAAGGCTGCACATTCTGTCAAACTGTGTGTAAATCTATTTTTGGCACAGATTCATCTGTCAACTTGGTATAAGCAGCCAAACTAGACAGACACCAAAAAAACCCAGACTGTTTGGCAAGCACTCAAAGTGCAAAAAAAACATGTTCTACTGTGAATTGTCAGCTGTTAATTAAATGATCCGACTTTATAAATATTTAGAAACTAAAATGATCAATTATCCTATTTAATGTGTCATGTTAATAATTTATCATGTTGTTAGGCCTATGCAGTTTGTGGTAATATGTCAATATTTGATCTGAAAGACGTTTTTTGTACAATAACCAACTTTGGTACCGTGCTGGGCAAATTGACATAAAATCTGAATCCTAAAACAAAACCAGCTGCGGACTAACGCAACAGGAGGTTTAAATTACAACGGAATTCGTCTGAAACTCAAGGATTTCGCAATACGATCTAAAGCAATAAATAAATAACGTCAAACCTAACCGTCTCTAACATCATACTAGTGGTCAATGACACAGCATGACAGCTGGCAGATACCAGCGTGTCTGCTCTCAAATATCAGTCCAGAGATGAATTCATCTGGCTTTTACAAATGTCAGATAAATACACCCAACAGGCACGTAAAAAAACAACGCTACTCCTCAACTAAATACTAAACCCCCCTGTAAGTGTCCTCTGTATAATACACAAAACCCTGTCGAATTATTGATGTCTAGCTAGAGAATGTCTAGAGCAGATCGGATAACGTCCTGACAGACCTTTTGTCCTCTTGAAGGCTATTGTGTTTCGCTGACTATTAGCAGAGAGATCGCTATATGTAATATGACATTCGTATTTTAATAAACCAACACATTAAAGCGTCCATTTGCGTCCGCAAACCGTGTGATGTCAAATATTCCTCACATACAATACATTTGGATGTCTAATGTTAAACTGAATTCAAGAACGATATCAGTATCTGCCTGAAATATGATTAGCAATCGCTGTCATTTCAGTTCTCCACAGTAACTAACATTTAATAAGACGTTCCGCTTGCAGATACTGTTACTGGTTAAAATAATTAAATAAACGTGATGTTTAGTATTGTTCAATAGATGTATTGGATGTTGACGTATTGCTGGTATGGTTAACATATTCATGCTAGCATAACAATATGGTAAAATCGAGATAACACAGCGTTTAATATTACGTTACTTAAAGAATAAGGTATATCAAAAACAATTAATAAACATATATGTTTACCTCACTCCCGTTTAACGATATTTATTTCAAATCCCACCCCGTTTCCTTTTTCTTTGTCAACAATACGCTGCAAGGGCGCATTGAATGCTGGGATACTGGAGGGCTTCGGGAACTCCGCCAAAGTCATCTATGACGTCATTGAGTTTCGCAAATGTACTTTCTGTTATTTATAATATTTTTCTCTGGAAATGTTTTCAGAAGATAAATCGTCTTTCGTTTTATACCTCTAAATCTTAAACACAGTTTGGGTGACCGTTTTCCAATTATGAAAAATCTTAAAGGGACAGTTCACCCCAAAATAAAAATTCTCGCATTACTTGCCCACGTTGTCCCTAAACCTGTGTGGCTTTAATTCTTCACTGGAAGACTAAAAGAGACGCTGGGCAGAATATTACAGGGGATGAACGACTCAGTTACCATTCACTTTTTGTTTAAACTGAAGCGGTTATTCACATACTTTTTATTTTTAGGTAAACTGTCCCTTTAAGGTTTAAAAGCAAAGCTCAAAGGAAGCATTTCGTTAAAACAAAAAAAAATTTCTATAGATGTTAGCAAATGAAACCACAGGAAACCAGTAAATAACATTTTTTAAACCAGTGAACCGAACTTAACATTTGACAACACGACATACAAGCATGTATGTCGCCTATAAAGTTGAAGTAAACAACTCATCCTAAAGAAACCTGCACGCCCTTTAAAATGAAAGCTATCCACCACCGCCTTTTCAGGGCACAACCCATAATCAAAACATTTGTGACCGCTTGCACACATTTGCACAATGAGCAAATTTATAGAACATTTTGCATGACAAAAAAAAAAGTCTACAGAGAAATTAAAACAGGAAGAACATGACGACCTTTATAAAAACCCCTCTCTCAACGGACATACATACAATTCAGGAATGAACAACACTGACAGATTCACGTTAAAAATGTATCCTTTGTTGTAAACCAGTATGCCAACGGCTATAATAAACAGAAACCATGTGGTTAAAAAAAGACAGTCGAATATGCTCTACAATATGGTGATCTTATGTCTGGGATAAGACACGTTTCTCACGCTGCCTAAGCAGGCTATTGAGATGTAGTTATGTAAAAATGCGGCTGATTCGATTCTAATAAAGGGTGCTGTATGATCGGTACTTGCTGACAGGCTATTCCCTACGGATATTAAAACACACCTAGTAGTATTAGCTACAGGAGCTAGCTTTCGCGCAGGGTAAATATATCACCGCAAATGCCTTTACATTTATCGCAGCGCGTTCAGTGTGTGGGATTATGGGGAACAGGACTTCCAAACAGGTACGTCCCTTTCTGACATTCACAAATTCAAAGGGCATGTGCAGCGAGGCTCCACGGAAGCCGAGGAGCGCGATTTAGGAGGAGCCAGCGCCTGACAACGCTGCTTCTTCTCCCGCGTCTGTGCCGCTGTTGTCATGGTCTCAGGCGGATTGTTGAATTAACATGGCGCTTGCCTATACTCTCTCGAAGGAGATAAACAAGAGGAGGGGAAAGCGGACGAGGACGGATTTCTCCATGGTCAGAGGGAGGCACAATTATTATAAAAATCACACAGAACCCAAGCTCACCCAACTCCCCACCCCCACCAAGACAGCTAGACCAGGATCAGGGGAGGAGGGGGTCGCCCTTTATATGAGATGAAAATGAAACTACATGTGACCCTGAACCATAAACCAGTCATAATGGTTAATTTTATTTAAAAGATTTATACATCTAAACGCTGAATAAATAAGCTTGCCATTGATGTATGGTTTGATAGGATAAGACAATATTTGGCCGAGATGCAACTTGTTGAAAATGTGGAATCTGCGGGTGCAAAAAAAAAAAAAAAAAAATCGCCTTTAAAATGGTCTAAATAAAGTTCTTAGCAATGCATATTACAAATCAAAAATTAAGTTTTGATATATTTACGGTAGGAAATTTACAAAAATACTTAACATCCAATATCCTGATGATTTTAGGCATAAAATAAAAAACGATTATTTTGTTGGCTGCTACAAATATACCCGTGCTACTTTTTGTACGACTGGTTTTGCGGTCCAGGGTCACCTATATGTTAAAAAAGAACGTGTCAAATCTGTCTAACACGCAATGCAACAGCAAAAGCGCCCATTAAAAGAAAAAAAACAACGCGTACAGGCGACACGTAACATCCCCGTCCACCCCTCGATCCGCTCGCGGAGAACTGAGAGTATAAGGAATTCCACGACCTCGTTGCTTATTTATACATGAGTGGGCGTGGCTTCGCGGCTCGGCTCAGCCAATGGCGCTGCAGCGGCGGGGCGAAGGCGTTTCGGTCTTGCTCGGAAGAGAAGTTCTCTAACAGCGCGAGCCCAGCACTGCTCAGAAAAGACAGATAGAGAATCAGGCGGCTGCAAAGGGTGGCAGTACGACCCTCTTTTGGGGGGGTCTGATTATAACAAAATATATACACACACATATATGCATGCCCAGGGCCGCGAGATAGGTCATATGCCGATTGTAGATATTTTAGCAAACATCTAGAGGTCTATCTATACATTTCAAAATGCCTATTTTACTTTTTCTGATAGACACGTCCGCTTCTATGAATCAGCGCACTTATTTGGGTACGACGTTTCTGGACATTGCTAAAGGCGCGGTTGAGATCTTTATGAAGGTAAAGCATAATTTTACCCCGACTTTTTCAGCTTGCTGTTGTACCTTGTTGGAGTTAAGGATCCCTATGACAGGATCAGTTTAAATTAATGTTTATTGTTTCGTTTTCTTTAACAGCTGCGTGCCCGAGACCCGGCTAGTAGAGGCGACAGGTACATGCTAGTTACATTCGATGATCCACCATACGGCGTAAAGGTAAATAAATACTACTAAATTGTGCTTATATGTGGTTAAAGCGTAGATTTCTTTTGCTGACAGTGAGACTCTACTGTCCCTCTGGTTCGTAGCATCGGGTCAGGCGGCCTCCCGGTGACGAAAACGGCTAATTTTTGCTAAAATATCCGCAGACCCGGAGCAGCGCAGCCTCTGAACATGGCGGACATTTTGCTTTTGTGTTGGGAAAGCTCTCGAGCGCTGAGATGGAGGCGGAGAGATTTATTATCCACTGTGACGTAGCGCGCGACGCGTGCACGGGCCAACTCGGTCCGGATTGGACAAGCGGCCTGCCCTCTGTCGCGTGCCCTCCTCTCGCATTCTCATTGGCCACTGTAGCCTGAACAGATCAACACGATTTGATTTGTGCAACAGCCATCAATAAGCAAATGAGGAGATGCTTTGCAGGGTTGCGTTGCTCTTTATGAGAGAGAGGGAGACGCTTGTGAGTTGCCCTTGAAAACAAGCATCAACTTCCTTCCCTCTCCACTCCTAGTACATTCACCTCCCTCCCATTCATATTTAAAATTCCCAAACACCAAACAGGTGAAAGGTGACGTGCCTGTCACATCAGGTCACTCAATCTTTGAAGTTTACTCAAACATAAGATATACCTATACAAGCATAATTGCTAATTGCTCACTATTAAGCCAACTTTACATATAAGGCATGAACCACAGTGACTTCATGCTATACCCTCCCATAAGTGCTTCCTGTACAAATACAAAAAAGTGCTATTAGTACAATAAACTCAGTACAGAAATTAGGAGGCGTTTTGCTGTTTTCATATGTGACAGCCATTCATATTTTACCATTTGGGATAGCAAGGTCTGTGAGTTGATGGTGTGGTGAACTGTATTCAAACACATCTCTTTACTCAGAGTACTAACTGAATATAATGGCAGTCAGTACTTGCTTAATGGATTACTTGATCATTCTAAGACACAAGGGCACGACTAGACTTGCATGTATTACATTAATGGGCATCATGTACCTAGTTTTTTTTTTTTTTTTGAGGAGGCAGTGACAGTTCTGGCTCTTCTGTGTATGTTTATGAGTCATGATAGTCTAGTGCTGTAATTTTGTAAAGGGCCAGGTTAACATCCTTATATAATATAAATTTTTTAAGCAATATTACTACTGAACTTCAGTGATCGCCCTTCATTTTCTGACCAGAACTGACCTTGTGGTAACATTGTTTGAAAACCCCCCAAAAACCCAAATAAATTATTATTAAATTATTATTAATTAATGCAATGACTATATAGCCTACTTCTGATTTATGAACCAAAGCAAGAACATATTAACACTTGCTGTCGCTATTCCAGAATATTACAAATATTACATAAGTCATGCATCAGTCTTACACATATTCTGTAGCTATTATACATATTATACATATATTATATTATATTATCTATTATACATATCTCATTAAATACTATAACTCCCTAGTAAAAAATATTTTGTAAGATCCCCCCCAACTCTTTCGTTTTGCACAAATCACATAAGCTAAATTATATATTTTGCCTTCAAAAGAGCAAAATTTACAAAAAGGTAATATTAATTTTGCACCTAAATAATCATGCAATGTAATTACCAAATGTAGAAATATTGTAGAAATGTAGAAATATTTATTTTTTGACATTTAAAAGCTGTTTAAAATCAACTTATCATGCTCAAAAGTTTGAATGGGCATGAACCTCTGAGTACATTCAACAGAGCTGTGATTTTTATGACAATAGGGTTTGTAGTGTTTACCAACATGCTTAAAATCCACACCTCTGTCACACAATATTGCATATAAAAATAATCCAATAAGCAAATAAACCCAATTCTTCATCAGTTTTCAGACCTTTCTCTCCCCACGTTCAGCATCAACTTCTGTTTGTAAACTGCTGTGCCAGTTCTCTTGACGTGCCATTATATTGGATGTGGGAATTGTGGTTATGTGGTCACTATGCATGGCCTAATTTCAAAGTATCATCCATCATTTTCCCAGCCTGGAGTTGAATCAAGGCCTGTGTACTGTCTACATGTGACGTAGTGGTACCTGTCTTCTTTGTTTGTGGTTTGACATTGACAATGAGAGTAGCTCTGTGCTTTAGCACTTCATTAGTATGGACTATCTGGCAGGTAGCCAGTTACTGTCTTGGGGGGTTTTCTTACTCCACTGCTTGTCATGCAGTTTTTCCACCCTGTTCCAGTTTATCCAAGATAATCTGAGGCTGACTTCCAAGTGACACTTAACTCTATAACTACTTTTCCTGCTTATACTATACACTAATGATTCGTAGTAGACATATGGCATGTTTTAGCCGCTTACGTGATGGAATTTTGAATGTGCAAGTGGCAAATGCTTGGCATTGTTATCCTACTATGTCTTTGTTTGAGAAAGTGTTATGAGATGTTATAACTGCCCTCTTACATAAGTTCTTAGCCCTCTCTGAGCTATTCGTGGCCAGCTTGTTTCTCCTGTTTAAAAAATACTTCTCAGCCAAGCAGTGTCTCTTCAGAATTAGCGAGCAGGCTAACCCAGTTCTCGACTAGAATACAGCCTAGCAAGAATCTGGCCTCTGTATCTGACAGAGTGTCTTTTTTATTTCCCGTCAATTATTCATGAGATTTTCAGCAGCTAAACAGTGAAGAGTTCCATTGAGCCTCCAGTCCTCATAAAGCTCTCTTTTCCTGTTTGTGTGCCTCTCTTGTTGTCTGAGCCCCGGCCAAGCAGAACATTATTCTTAGTCTTGCCTACAGTATTTTCTGAAGTTGACACAGTTTTTGCCCTTTGCAATTTTCTTAATCAATTAATGTTGAGATTACTTATCATTGAAGTGAAAGGTTAGAGATGGAAATGAATTTGTTTTGTCGTAAACACTGTGTTGTTTCTGTCGTTGGTTAATGAAGGAGAAAAGAAAAATTAATGTAACTGCATTTGTGGTTTACGCCATGAGGCTCTGGAAAACAATGCAAACACCTCCATATTACGTTATACCTTCTACATTTTTACATTACCCCATCTAACATTTGGACACTTTATGAATGTCATTGCGTTATATAACAAAATATCACTTTAATTTACGGTGTCCTTGTTACAGTGTAATTTATGCATAATTTACTGTTACTATAGTAACTACATATAACATATGTAACAAAGACACTGTAAAATAAAGTGTTACCCAAAAGTCTTATGGATTTGGAAGGACATGAGGGTGAGTAAATGATGAAAGAATTCTCATTTTTAGATTTAAGACAAAGAGTATTTAGACACTTTGTAGCTGTCAGATGTTAGTGGATCAGTTTCTTAGTTAATGTGATAAACTACCTGTGGTTCCACTGATATAACACCTGTGTGAACTTGAGGAGAACAAACTTCATGAATCCATTAAAACGACATTGGGACCAGTTGCTTAAAAGTAAATGCAAAAATGAGTAAGAAAAATCAGGTTACTTTGAAAAGGCATCATTTGTTTGTAGAGCCCACTTGATATTTTATTAGGTAATGCAATGAAATTCATATATTTTAAGTGTGACTAAAGTGTCCAAATAGCTTTTAGAGTCACTGTACATTTACATGCATTATAATACATGATGCATGCATAAAATATTTTGGTGCAGCCCAGGAATATCTCATCTGTGAATCCAGTGGCCTTATGTTTATCGTGTAGACTGCATCATGCTTTATCTTGCTCTGAACCTTATGAAATGGGAGTGGCTGAGGTCCTCTCTTCATGACAGATAGACAGGCCAAATATTCCTTCAGAAATCCACAATGTTGCTCCTCCTCCTTAAACCTCATTCACAACATATAACTAAACATATACTCTCTGCATTTCTTTGCATTGGCTCTATACAAGTAGCTGAAAAAAGGTGATCACCAAAAAAAAAAAAAAGTTCATTCACTCAGAGTCAAAATGGAGATCTGTTTGTCATGAGCATGATGGTCCCTCTGATCAGTACTTTGGCTGGTTAACCAGCTCTCATTCCATTAGAGTGACAACTTTAGTTCCTGCCCTGCCTTTATCATCACACATGACAAGCACCACCCTGCAGACCGCAGATGTGTCCCTCCTGCAAAACTGGGTGGGTGTATGTAACTGAGCTCAATGGTTATCTGTGATCAGCTCAACCTTTAGGCGATAGTAGAGATTAAAACCTGGGACAAGGCAACCTGATCCTGGAATAATACTCAGGCCATAAGGGCAGTCGCTTAACCCATGTGAATCCACCCCGGGTCGTCACGTGCCCTTTCTGCTGTGATGATTCCTCCTGCAATCACAAGAGCTGTGTTTATATGACTGCTGCTTTCCTCAGAACAGGAGCTTAACAGGGAACAAGTCCTTATCTGTCAGTTTATGTAAAACTGCTCATTTGTCTTGCCACCTGTCCTGCATTTGGCAAGGAAATACAGAGCCAGGTTTGATGGTACGCTAATTCTGAAAGCAGAAAAAAGAAAATGCATTATATGCTCTCTGTAACTAAACAACAGCTTTATGTTTATCTAACATAATGTTATTGCTTTCTCCATTCTGCTCTGGGGGGACATATATGGTCGAATCTCATGAAACCTGTCAAGATGATACCCGGTTCATATTTCACCTCAAAATCCAACGAAAAAAATGTGAAATTATACATTCGCCTAAAGCAAAATAGAGACCATTGAGATTTTTGTGACCACTTCTTTTGCATTGTGACATTATTTTGATGACAATTAAGCACATTGTATTACTGTAATGCATAAAAATAATGTATTATCTATATTGGAAATCATTTATACATCAGGGTAGTATTTGCTGAACTGCCTTTATTTATGCATGTGTAATTACAGTATCACAGTAAGGAAAATCTAATGACAATCACTTTTGAGAATAAATGAAAATCTTACATGAAAAACATCTGGTACAAAAATACATAATAGGTTAATTAGTCTTAATTTTCTTTATATAAAATATAATTGTATTCTGTTTTTCCCTTTTGGTTTTGGGGTGAAATATGATGTTGATATGTAATAATATATTATTTAAATTGTAAAGTGTTTATACATCATTGTAGTGTTTGCTGTACTGCCTTCAATTTGTGCTATCCCCCCCAAAAATACCGTATTACAGTAATGAAAATGAGAATCACACTGAAAATAAATAAACATCCAAATATAAAAATTTCAGAAGTGAAATATCTAGTACATAACAGTAATGCGAAAATCAAAAAATAATATCACAAAGTAAAAATATTTTTTCTTTTACTTTTGGAGTAAAATATGGTCTGGATATGCTTTCGTGACATTGACCTGTATGTGGATTACAATGTTTGTTCTTTCCTCTGTTGGATCGCCGTCAGGCTTTTATTCTTTAAAGAAGGGTTTGAGTTTACATTTCCTCTGTTAAAGCTACAATTAGGGTATTATCCTTTTTCCTGGCTTATTCAGTGTTCACATTCCTTATTCTCTCCCATCTTCTTCTGCCTCACTGGACAAGGGTGCGATTAAAGGAGAGTCTGATTGCAGTCACACTTCTTCAGAGCCAATAAATTGTTAATGCGGAGGGAAAGACAGACGGATGGGGAAAAAAAATAGAATTACGCTGTTGCTTGAATTATTGAGTGCCAGTTAGAAGAGCTACCGCTTGAATGGTTTCTTTTTTTGTTCCATACATGGATAGAGACGTACACTGTCAGGACAAATCTCTGCCTGCTTTGTTCTTTAATGCTTCCCAATACACGCACACATGTGAAGCTCAACTACCTCGGGATCTGACCTGTTAAGTCTTCTCTCCCTTGTGGGGATTTACAATGCATGCATGTTTATGTAATGTGTTGATTTATTCATGCTGAGTACATTTCATGTGGAGCAGGAATCATTTTGTAAAAGCAAATTTAGTGAACTATTAACCTCGGTTCTGTTCTCAGCATCTGAACTCATTATATTGGTGTTTTTACTGTGTTTGTTTTGAGTGAGCAGTAAAGTAATGACTGTATTCTTCTGCTGGGAGGGGTAATGTGGGTCAGGGACAGACACACACACACTAACCACATGTCTTTTAAAGATAGTAAAACGAGTCAAGCCTTATGTAGCGGATCTGTGTTGCTTCTTACCAGGCTGCCTGTCATAACCTAACATATACATGTGCAAGTATAAGTGGTCCACAATCATTCATGCTCATTCAATTGCTTTGCGAAGCTTGTCCTGTGGTCGTTTTGGGTCTTTATTATCTGACTTTACTTTCACCCTACTTGGCTGTCTCTCTCACCTGACATTTAGGTAGTGTTGTTGTGCTTAACATGTGCTTAAGCCTGTTGTGAATTACACAAAATGCTGTAATAGTAAAGTGCTTGATCTCGCTAAAAGCTACAGGTGATTGACATATACTAGGAGGGAAGCTTCTGTTTGTTATGTAATAGTTTGCATAAGATTTGATAATGTTTCTAATAATACATACAGAGGCCTTAAAGGTGTTTGGAGACACTTTTACATATTAGATAAAAATCTAACTAAGTGGTATTTGCAAATACATCTGCATAGTAATTTCACACATATGTGAAATATGTGTGAAATTACTATGCAGATGTTTCATTTACGTTTGACAAGCAGAAAGAGTTCAGAAATATTTGGTCTTGATCTGTTCTCATATTCTTCTATTCTCATAATTTAAAAGGAAAGTATGCTTGTACTAACTTGTTTGATATTTTGTTACTTTTAAGTGTGACTTAAAGGCACAATATGTAAGATTTTTTTTATTAAAATATCCAAAAACCACTAGAAACAGTGTTATATATTTTGCTGACTTGTGTACTTACATTATCCCAAATGTTTCGAAGAATGTTTAAATCCAGAGAAATAAGCAATTTTAACTAGTGACACGGACCGTGTCCATAGTGTCATTGTGTCGCCTGCCAATGACGTCATAACCCCTCGATTTCCGGTTTTGTTTTGTAGAAAACATGGAAACACCAAAGACGCTTTAATATGTTGTGCGTTTTAATAGACCGGTGACGACCGCACAGAGTAGCATTATAACAGAACTTTCAAACATATCTAGTATGATAAAACTAATTATTATTATTATTATTATTGTTTCTTTGTTTATTTTGAATACGCGCCCTCTAGCGGCGAAAATTACATATTGTGCCTTTAAGTGTCTAAATACACTACTGTTCAAAGGTTTGGGGTCAGTAAGATTTGTTTTTTTTAGAAAACAATCATTTTATTTAGCAAGAATGCATTATATTGATTAAAAGTGACAATGTAGATATTTACAATGTTACAAAAAAACTATTTTATATAAATGCTGAAAACAATTCTGTAAAAATGCGTCACGATTTCCACAGAAATATTAAGCAGCACAACTATTTGCAGCACTGATGATAATAAATGTTTAGCACATTAGAATGGTTTCTGAAGGATCATGTGACACTGAAAACTGGAGTAATGGCTGCTGGAACATCACGTTTTTCCTGTATTTTTGCTCAAATAAATGCTCTGTGCACATACAAGACTTTTTTCATAAACATTAAAAAAATCTTACAAGACTTTTGAATGTTAGTGAACATTTTGGGTTCACTGTGTAAATGTCACTGTCTGAATGTTTAGTGTTGCCGAGGTTATATGGAGCTGGTTTTCACATCATCTGTTTGTATTTCCTGTATATGGTAGGCGGGTTGGAAAGAGAATCATGCCACATTCATGAGCGAGCTGAAGAACCTGCAGGCATCTGGAATGACTACACTAGGTCACGCTCTCCGCGCCGCCTTCGACCTGCTCAATCTCAACAGACTCGTCTCTGGCATCGACAACTATGGTCAGGTAATAATATCTCCCTTCAGCATTCAGAGAGTCAAAACAATCTTTATTCAGTATAATAGCAATGTAATATTCAGTATGATAAGAATCATCTTACATAACAAGAGTAGACATTGAGATAAACACATCTGCCCGATTTTCAGATCAATCAATATTTTAACAAATTTACCTTCCATCCAGCCTTGAATGTTTTGTCCTTAAAGGAAACAAATACATTTTGTATATATATATATATATATATGTGACCCTGGACCACAAAACCAGTCATAAGGGTCAATTTTTCGAAATTGAGATTTATACATAATCTGAAAGCTGAATAAATAAGCTTTCCATTGATGTATGGTTTGTTAGGATAGGACAATATCTGTAATCTGAGGGTGCAAAAAAATCTAAATATTGAGAAAATCGCCTTTAAAGTTGTCAAAATGAAGTTCTTAGCAACACATATTACTAATCAAAAATTAAGTTTTAATATATTTACAGTAGGACATTTATAAAATATCTTCATGGAACATGATCTTTTCTTAATATCCTAATGATTTTTGGCATAAAAGTAAAATCAATAATTTTGACCCATACAATGTATTTTTGTCTATTGCTACAAATATACCCCAGCGACTTAAGACTGGTTTTGTGGTCCAGGGTCATGTAACGTAAATATATATTTGCAGAAAACTCAGTGTGTATCAACAAAAAATAACAAAAAAAGTAGCTGGAAAGAAGCCATTACTCAAAAATAATTTCACAGCACATCTAAAGTGTACCAGAAGGCAAGAGAGTGACCCAGCTAACATATGGGAAAATATTCTGTAGTCCAAAGCTTTAAACCTGATGCTGCCCAGTGCTTCAAGCACCATCCGTTCAACGAGGCTTTGTAGTGGAGATGCTTTCATCAGTAGTGACGGGGGTCTTCTTAACTCGGGAGGAGGAATGGATGTAGCAACATGCAGACATTACAGAGCAAACAGTATTTCACAAGAGCACACGGGTATCAACTTAATTTACTGTGCTTTGTGTTGTTTCTTCTGCAACATCAAACAGAGCAACATTTAATTGGATTATCTGTAATTCAGAATATTCAGATACTTTACATGCACACATTAAAACCATGCTGGATTACCTAAAATAGGAGACATGCAGTCTGAGATAACCCTGAGGCAGTGTGCTAATCCACATGCTCAGTCTGCATGCGTGAGGGTGAGTAACTGAGTGCTGACCCCTGCAGTATGGACAGAGAGAATGCATCTGGTGTCCACTCACTGTTTACTGTATAAACTACAATTAACAACATCTGTCAGGTTAAATGTTGCTATGTAATTTTTTTTCTCAACTGCATAGGAATTCGGTTGGCACTTATGTTTGTACTTGCAGTTAACATTGAAAACCACATAGAAAATCTGGGGGATTTTTTTTAAACATGGGAACAAAAGAAAGGTTTAGGAACAAAAAGAAAGGTTTAGGATTCAAGTTCTGATACATATTTTCCATGTCATATTTTTCAGCGTTTCACTTACACCACTGTTCAACATTTTGGAGTATATACTGTATATATATATATATATATATATATATATATATATATAAGAAGGTGAGAATTTTACCTTAAAATAAAGTGTGACCAAAAAACTATAAAAACTGTAATAGTATATAAATAATACTAAAATAGCACTGTATGTAGCACATATTTTTTGCACTGATTTGTGGGAAATCTAGCTGAAAACACTATGGAATTGGCTAAAATATTTAATGAGCGAGCACAGAAGGACTTTCTGCGGAGCTCTGGGACCTGGCAGACGTTCAGCTGTTTCTTTCTGCACGCTGAAATTTCACAGGATCCTTAATAAAACGGCAAAGTACTAGGATTGCAAAAGGAGTTTGGATAGGTGTATTAGCATTGGCTCATCCGAGCCGAGTGGATGAAGCAATTTATTAGCCAAAGGTAATGACCTCTGCAAACTAAAGGTTAGCTTTCATCTTGCTCGAGCAGTGCTAATGAATGCGGATGAAGATAAGGGAGCTGAAAAGAGCAGTAACATGAGGAAAGGCTTCACTGTCCTGAGGTTTCCCACCCCCTCACTGTCTATTCTCTCTTAAACAGTACACTGTAGAGATAGCAGCTGGTGCCGTGCCAAAGTGCCACAGCTCAGCTCAGCCTGTGGGCACTGTGAGAGAGCCATTGCCAGCAGAATAAGACTGCTGCAGCTCACCAGAGCTTTAGCATTCAACACTAGCTTAACATGAGGTCATTTCCTTCCTGACATCCTCTCTGTCATGTCTACAATATTGTGAATCAGTAGCACAATGGGCTTGGGTGCCTCCAAAAATGTCAACTTGAGCACATAGAGGCTCTTTTTCATATTCCTATAATAAAGTCAGTGTTTTATTTGCTGTAAAACACTTCTTTGGTTTATTTAGTGCTCAGTCAGAGTGTTGTGAGATTATCTGCTCAGGGAATGAACAGCTTGTGTTGTCATGTGCCTATAACACATGGGTCATTACCCACTGCTGCTGTCATTACAGGATGAATTGGCCATCTAACAGACATATCTTTTGAAAAACCCATTGTGAGAATGTATTACAGAGGATTTCTGTTTCTCTCTCTCTCTCTTTAGCCTCCACGATCTGCCCATCCTCTGGTGCGGTTTTCCTGTATCGACTGTGAGCCGATGGTTATTGACAAGCTGCCTTTTGACAAATATGAGCTGGAGCCATCACCGCTCACCCAGTTTATCTTGGAGAGGAAATCTCCTCACATGTGCTGGCAGGTGGGACACCTTTTCACACAACTATTTAATGTGATCTGTATTTAGCATGCCATCTTTCACAGCCCCCAGACTGATGTCTGGGTAGAGCCGAGTTTCACAATGATAGATATCATGGTGTTAAAAGAGCGGAAAGAAACAGTGGGTGTTTCGATTTTCTATATTTACTGGAATGTAAAAAAGCACAACACAAATTACATGTAATGTCAGTTTAATGGCTTACACATTTACAGTAACGGTTGTAAAAGTCCTGTATTTAGTAACTGGTCAAACAGCAGCTGGAATGAGATTTTGTTGTATAGTTTTTTATTCAAACACAGTGTTGGACAGTACCATTCAAAGGTTTGGGGTCAGTAAGATTTTATTTATTTGTCAAGAATTTAATAGTTTTATTCAGCAAGGCTTGATTAAAAATGACAGTAAAGACAATTATAATGTTACAAAAGATTTCTGTTTAAAATAAACGCTGTTCTTTTGAGCTTTATATTCATCAAAATCTCTTTTTCAGAAAAATATTAAGCAGAACAAGTGTTTTTAATATTGATGATGATGATGATAATAATAATGTTTCTTAAGCAGCAAATCAGCATATTAGAATGATTTCTGAAGGATCATGTGACACTGAAGACTGGAGAAATTATGCTGAAAATTTTGCTTTGCATTACAGGAATAAATTAAATTTTAAAATATCACAATATAGAAAACAGTTATTTGTAAAAATATTTCACAAAAATATTACTTTATTTTTGATCAAGTAAATGCAGCCTTGGTGAGCAGAAGAGACTTCTTTATAATCCATTAAAAAAATCTTACAGACCCCAAACTTTTGAATAGTAGTTTATTTGTCTCCCAACCTTTGTAGTAATCTTTGACATAAAATGGTGCATGTGTTATGTAATAATTTCCTCCCTGATGTCCATCCATTAATACAGAGTTTGTGCAGGTTTTCTTACAGTATTACAGTCAGCAGATGCTTATCTAAACTGACTTACACTAGAGGAAACTTGATTATAGAGGAACAAACGATATAATCAGTGCCACAGAAGTAGTCCAAAATACAGAGCAGCGTAAAGTGCAATAGAGTAAAATTAAACCAGGTTTTAAACAAGTGTCCTAATATGCATAGTTATGAGTTTGAATAAAGTCTTTATGATATAAAAAATTTTTATATTATAGAAATTTCATAATTCTTGTCACCAGTGTCAATTTCACAAAAAAAAATAATACTAGCCTAAATAAACAAAACAACTCAAGCTCACTGAAGACAAGTAAACAGTCAGCGATTAAATAAGAATAAGAAACTAATTACAAGCAATAGGACAAAAAAACTACAGTAGAACAAATAAATAAGAAATGCTGCGTACATTGTATAAAGTAATTAAATGTATAAAAACACTGCATATTATGCACTGTGTAAATTAAATATACAAATATAATTAAAGTTACAAAAGGGATTTAGTCAAGAGTAGTGAGAGATTTTCTTTCTTTTGTTGTTTGATTAACATGAATGACAAGACAGCAGGAATATTAGACTGCTGTCACTTTAAGAACTGCCCGGATCCAAAATACTGTTACACATCGGTTTTCTTTCTCAGCTGTTTTGCTTTAACTATTCACTTAAGACCTAAATTACTGTGTTTACGAGGATACTTGCACACATGGAAGTGTGAGCATAATAACCGTTCAGTGCCTATGAAAGCCTCGATAGAGACGATAGTCCAAAATCTGTACCGGTTGACAAATTTCTATTGGTATATCGCCCACCCCTAATAACAACCAAACTGAAAATGCTCATATATACATAAAATCCCACTTTATCACTGTAAAAAATGACAGTGAATTTAACGGTAAAAGACTGTAAAAATGCTACAGTAAAAACCTGTTAAATGGTTAACGGTAAATTCCCCTTCTGTATACGGTGAAAAACTGTATTGGACATTACATGTAATTTTACGATAGTATACCGTTTTTGGAAGTGAAAAAGACCGTATAATTTACAGTGAATAACCGTAAATTCCCAGAATTCCCTGCGTTACATTTCAAATTGATGTTTTTTTGTTGAAATAACTATTCTTATCAGTTTTGTATATTAGGGTTGTGTGATACACCTAATGTTCTGATATTTATTTAACCAAAAATAATTCAAAATCAATGACATCTTTATAGTATAACAGACTGCATAAAATGCTAACATAAAATGCATATAATTACCATTTGTCACTCTATATCTCCAAAAATATAAGAAAAAAAACAGAATTAATCCATTTTAAGGAATTATAAATACTGAAACATGTTCTTGCTTTTTGTTTTCACTGAAATGAAACAACCTCATCAATAACTAACAAAAAGTACTATTATTTCTGTTCACTCTAAAAAATGCTGGGTTGTTTCAACCCAACTTTGGGTCAAATATGGACTAACCCAACATTTGGGTTAAATATTTTATGTAAAACTTTAACCCAACAGTTGGGTTAGTCCATATTTGACCCAAAGTTGGGTTGAAACAACCCAGCATTTTTAGAGTGTTCCTGCAGCAATGAGGCCTTCCTCGTTTGAATGTTTGGCTCCGAACACCTTAGCAACTGAATAGCAGCATCCTAGGATCGCAAGCACCACTGAGATTTTCTTTAGAAAATCAAAAAACAAGTTAATTTGATTGTTAATCCGACTGTATATGCGTTTAAATTATAAACAGCTGAGTGGTTATACGCTTTTTAACATGAATTTGTGTCAAAAAGAATTGTGACTCTTTTGTTTTTTTATTTGACTAATCATAATGTTCTTACAGAGGCATAAAGAATCTGAAAGCTGCTATGACTGATACTGGGCCATGAGTATGACTTTTGGAAAGGAAATAATTTTATACACAGGATTTTTTTGCTGGAGCTCATTTTAGTCTTCTCTGAAATGATGACAAATGGTCTCTCAAGAGCTGTTACCCAGACCATTTAGTTTCTTGAAAGAAAGAGGGTTGACAGTACTGCAGTAAGATGAAAGAACTTTTCCATGCTGTATTTTGTTGTCACTGGATATATATATATATATATATATATAT